CTGAGAATATTGCACTATTCATTTCAACTGTCACCCAAATGAACAGTATTTGTTCACTTATTTGATCATTTTATGATTCCTTCAAACAGGAATTTGAATTTGGTCACTGTAAAGTCAGTTTGACAGGTGAGCATCATTTAGCATTAAATATGAAACAATGTTGAAACAATAACTTTTATTGAGTTCATTTTACAAAAAAGACACTGCATCTTCTTTTAAGAGACTTAGTGGCATGAAAACCCAAAACTGCAAGCCTGTAAGAGAGAACACTTCATATATAACCATTAAATGAAGCAGAGTACCACAAACAGTTTTCACTGCATTCCCATTAGTTTCAAATTCACAACTGTGGCGGCCCCAGATCTCAGTTGGCAAAGTCTTTGAAAGGGAGGAGTCAAACTGAAGGCAGTTCTTTCTTGTTTATCAACTTGTCTTTTTTGGAGAGAGTAAATAACCAGTGGGCAACTTCTTCTAAAATTATGTTCTGTGAACTCAGTGATCTGTGAGTCACTTTAGAAATAAATTATTGCCTCAACTACACTTCTGTTGTTAAGCAGCATGGACGGCAGTGGAGTTAATTGTATCAGTTGCAGCTTTCTCTTGATTTGTGACTCACAGTAATCAGAGGGAAGAAACTGATCACACAGAATCAAGACTGATGGAAAAGGCTGAAATCATATGAAGCAAATGGTTCTTATGAACAGTGATGTGGAAAATACAGCTTCAGCAACTCCATGTACAAAAGATGCTGGATAGTGAGCTATAAAAACCAAAGCCCCAAATTTCAACGGAAATATAGTACAACCGTTAACTAGGAGTTCCCATCCACACCCTTATTTGTACAACAATATTTGGTGTAGTATTTAAGCAATTCCACACAAAGCATATACAGGAATTGTGTGCAAAAGATAAAGAAAAGCATCACTGGAATTGGGGATCTTTGTCAAGGGAAAGACACCTGGATTGATATTTTGGTGCATTTAAGATAAATAGCAATTAAAACAGACTCTTCTATGTTACACACATTCTGTCCTCAATTTGAAGCATTTAACTGAATGTGGATTAAACCTGGTGAGATGTTCTCTCAGCTGATCAGGTGTCAGGTTGGGTTTTGCAGTGGATGAATTGGAGGGAATCAGGAAAACGTTTAAAGCAGCTTATTTAAAGGACAGAACGGAAAAACAGCCTAATTAACAGTAACTCGTCTGATCCCGAACGTCTACAAGGTATGACCTGCAAACAGTCTGCTTGTGAACGAACAGGTTATTTTGCATTGAAATTGTATGTTTCCATGTTTCTATGGATACAATCATGTGCACCCGGATCTATGTGGACTATGCAAAATAAATACTCCCAGGTCATCTGCACAGCTGATTATTAGAATTGTAATTTAAGTTTGACATGGGACGTAACAATGAAGACACTACTTCTGAGCTCCTATTGGCCGCTCTGACCCAGTCGCTTTGTGTAAGCATCCCAACCCGTCTTTCTGTACGACTCAGCAGCTTTCAGCCAATCGGGAGCCTCCAGGACACCCCGTCCCACGATGATGATGTCAGAGGCTTTGCTGTGGATTACTTCCTCTGGGGTGGTGTACTGTTGGCCCAACACGTCACCTGTATGAAGAGAGATGGGATGCATGACTGAGGACTGGAGCGAGGGACAGGTTGTTGTGCACTGGCAAGAAAATGTGTGTTTTCTTGTGCTATAGCACCACCCAGTGTTAAAGATGAGTCACAACACCAAAACCAAAAAAGGTTTCAAAGTCCATTCTGCTTAAGGGTTTTCTGTCTTAAGAGATATCACCTCACTTCTGGCAAAGAAATGATGCTCAGACATTTACATCATAATTTGGACAGAAATTCATGTGATACTTCTGCTGGCTCCATATTCCACTGGATTAGTAATGAGTGGACAACTATGGCTTTGAAGTCAATACTTCTTTCATGCATCTGCACTAACTAAACGCACTCATAGGAAAAGGTTTCTGTGACTTTAACCTTTAAACTCCTAATTCTAATCAGTTCATACTTGAGTATTTATGAACAGCTGTGTCAAAATGAAGAAATCTCCTCAAGGCGTTCTTAAGATATCCTGTTCATCAGAATCGGGTTTACACATACATGGAATTTGCTGTGGTGTGTTTGTGAAGAGAAAACATGTCACGTCTTCATCTTCTCTTGGTTTACTGGTGGATCGTTCCTCATACGGCAGAGATGTTGTGCTGCTGTGTCATGTGACATCATCAGCTTTACACAAGTTTTCTTTGATGCTTTAAAGTCAAATGTTCACACGCAACTCAACGAGGAGAGACAGAGCAAATACTCAAACCCTAATTTTCTGATTGTTTTACAGCGGCTATGTTCTTAAGCACAAAAAACAACATCCTGGAGGTTTTGTGTAACTATAGACAGGATTCAGCTTCAGACATGTATACCTGCTGTCAGTGACAGGTATACCTCCGCTCACAGACACATTCAGCAAGTCACCTTAACTTTTCTTAACCAAGTTTGACTTTTCAGAATTAACTTTTACAAGAGCGACCTTTTTCATTCGTGTGTGTGTGTGTCTGTGTGTGTGTGTGTGTGTGTGGTTTCTCATTGTAGATAATTAACAAATTAATA